TCTGAAGTATGACTTGACCAGTCTGAAACAGTCTTCCTAACCCATTCGCGACCTGTACTCGATCTATTTTTTTCAGTCTTAAGTCATACTCGACCAGTCTGAACCATACTTGACCAAATAACCTCTACTTTATTTAAATCTAACTGTTAAAATAAATCTCGTTTTAACTGACATGACAACAGCCACAATAAAATGAAGATATTATATATATATATAAAACAGAATTTTACATCCTTACACGATTCTCAGATTTAATAAAATAGAGATAGTTAAATCAAATGATCTTATATATTAATTTAATTATATTGATTTTAAAGTTTTACAGTTTTAGAGTTTTGTTAAAAAAAGATTCACTTTTACCTAAAAATCCCAACTATACTGAGGGTTATAAAACCTTATTAAGGTGCTTCTTCTTTGGCATTTGTGTCTTTTTTAACTTAGTTTTCCTAAATTCCTAAGTAAAAACTACATAGGTTTCATGGTTACATACAGGTGTAATACCACCAAATCATAGTACGTGTCATCCGGTTGCATACGAAAATGGATTGAAGAACAATATTCCCTTGAATTTGACAGTTGTAGGCAATCTTCCCTTAGTTTATTTATTTTGTATTTACATTGTATCATAGATCAAATGTATTTGTTCAGTGTATGTTCACTGGTGTTAATATGTCCTTTGATTGAGTAAAGCCATTTCAGTTGATATTTTATAGTGTGTCTTTCTATGTTGTGATGTTACACTATTGTTTTCTGATAAGAGTGAAGGTTTGGTACCTTTAAAACGTTTAAACCCGCTGCAATTGATTGCACCTGTCCTAAGTCAGGAATCTGATGTTCAGTAGTTGTCGTTTGTTGATGTGGTTCATACGTGTTTCTCGTTTCTCGTTTTTTATATAGATTAGACCGTTGGTTTTCCCGTTTGAATGGTTTTACATTAGTCATTTTTGGGGCCCTTTATAGATTGCTGTTCGGTGTGAGCCAAGGCTCCGTGTTGAAGACCGTACTTTGATCTATAATGGTTTACTTTTATAAATTTTGACTTGGATGAAGAGTTGTCTCATTGGCACTCATACCATATCTTCTTATATCTTATTAATCCTACATTTAAATGCAGTAAAAAATTCTGGGTGATAAAAATATATCTTGAGTGTTTTAAAGCACCATAATTTTTTTATTTGGTGTTTCTATAAAATATTTTGGAAACTTGAGGTTACATGGTTACTAAAGCTTGTACACATGTATAAAAGAGGTGAAAATTTGATTGGTTGACTTCTAGTGATGGTTTTTCCCTATATGCAATAAAACATTATGTGAATTTTTTTCTATAGTACTGGACAGGATAATACTTTACTCGTGCCAAGTATTTCTTTATTTGAAATAATTATAAATTCTGCATACTTTTTTGAAAAGTGCAAATTCAACAAAGACTAATAGGGGAAAATCAATGGTTGTATATCACCTACAATAGTTATATAATTATCTTTTTAATGAGGTAACAACAGCCAACAAAATCACTAAAATTGTTTAACCTTATATTAGAAATATATCTATTATTATAATTTGGGATATATTATATATCATATATATCAAAAAGGGATAAAAAATTAAAGAAATGAATAGAGGTGTTCTTCTGATTTGTGGTAAAGTATAAATTAATACCTCATGCTTGGAGCAAACTGATTAAAAGGGTCACACCTGGCTAGAGAGTATTAAATTCTAAATAACATTCATTCAAAATTGCAACATCCTGTAAAATTTAAATCACAAGGCCCTTTTAATTCACTAGATAAGTAATATACGAGTTTAAATAAAATAGGATTTTAATTTTTTTAAACTTTAGAACACATTTCATTTATTAAAAGGTTATTAAGAATAGCTATAGAAGTTCTTTTATCATGATTATATTAAATTCTTGGTTTTACAAAACAAAGGTGAGATTTTTTAAATCTAGTAAGTTGCTTTATATACTATTTTATATATATTTTAATAAAAAAAAACTCACTGCATTATTAACTAACCTCAACTGACAACATAAATATATGTTAATGGTGAAATGTGTCCAGTAACCAAAAATCTATCTGAAACATTCAAACATTTTGATTAACATTAGTCACAATTCAGTTTTGAGATTATTTGATCAGATTGCTTTATTTCTATTATATATATATATGTAAGTGTTGATGAATATGGTGTTGAAGTTATATTATGTTTATTGTGAAATTTTGGTTTCAATGCTATATTGAATACATTTTAAATTTCAAATTGTTGTTCAAATTTCTAGCCAGGGCAAATAGCTGTGTTAAAGACAGTTCCTAAATTGATGAAATACAATAGATAGATAGAACAAATAGGTCTATGTTGGTTAAGACTTGGTCTAGTATGGTTCAGACTAGGTCGAGTATGGTTCAGACTAGGTCGAGTATGGTTCAGACTAGGTCGAGCATGGTTCAGACGCGTATAAAATGGTTAAGTACTGGTCGAGTTAAAGTTCAGACTGTTAAGTATGGTTGACTACTGTCGAGTATTATCGTGTAAATTTCAGACCAATTCAGACTGGTCGAGTAAAAATCAGTACAGTCGAGTATACGTACAGATTTCAGACTTTTACTGGTTTGTAGTGTATCTATTTATCACTATTGGTTTAAGTGATAATGCAAAAAACCTGAAAAAAACAAAGATTCTATATAATCCCAGATTATAAAAACTTACTGTTACATATAATATATGACATGACGTGTCACGCCGAAATATGGGCGAATGTAATGGGACAACCGAGGGGGTACATATAACGACATGTACTGATTGATTGAGTAAATGCATGTGTCAAAATGACGTTCCCTTGAATTTCCTCTCTGACATAAAATAAATGTCTTAAGTTTCCTATGAAACGATACGTTGTAATAGATCTGACAAGGTTTCTGTGTCGGAATATAACCACATGAATTTATGCTGTTTACTTAATTGAGTTTTCTCTTTCAATCCTTAAAAAATCACAATGTACTGCACGATCATACATAAAGAAAGAAGTGTTATTTGAAGCATTTATATATCGTAAATGATTGTTTTATTAAAATAGTACATGGTATTGATTCGACCCAATGTTTTGGGTTTGAAATGTAACATATGATTGCAATGAAAAGTATATATAGAATTTCAGCTGAATCACATACAAATGTTATATGGTTCGTATTTTTCAAAAATGAATAATATTATTTTCCTTTTAACAAATACATATACGAGAAATCGTTAATCATGCATCTATGCTATCATGTATGAATATATTAACATGTGCAATGCATATACTTTTCCACGCCGCAATCCGAAGAAGTATCCTAATTTTAATATGGCGTTTAAACTCACCTTAATCGTCTGAACTATGTTTACATTTGTATTATATAATGGTATACATCATATTTTTGGAAAAGCATAGGATAAAGTAGCGTGTTTAAATTCACGGTAGGTATAGTGTCCGTGGTTTTTCGAGAAAATCGGTCCACTTTTGTCGAGTGTAGATCGGGTTTATTTCGAGTGAAAAAACATGCAATAAGGTTTATTAACTGCTATTTCGTAATTATAATAGTTGTTTACATGACAACCCATCATATTTTGAATACTATAATGTTTTTGGCAACAAAGAAGGACAATTCCCATGTATTTAACCAAAAAATACAATGGTAAATATTGTCCGGGTTTTTCGAGAGCAAAAGTGAAACGGTCCGGGGTTTTCAACAAATGGTCCAGGTTTTTGAAAGAAAATATGAATAAGAAAAAAGTTATTCTTGACTTTTTCTAGTTTATAACTGTAATTAAGTGACAATATCATACATTTCCAATAAACATATTACTACGTTGGTTAAAAGTAACCTTTTCAATTTAATGAAAACGTTTTACAACAACTTTCCAGTATTAAATTTGAAATTACTGGATCCTTATTAATATTTTTGTGATGAACCCGGAGTTTTTATACGCCCGTTTATTGGACGTAATATGGAATACCGTTGTCCGTCCGTCCGTCCGTCCGTTCGTTCGTTCGTCGTTAGCATGTCGGACAATAACTCAAAAACGCTTTAACCAATTTGCATGAAACTTCGGTGAATTGTTGATATCTATTGACGTGAGCTCCTTTTCAATTTGTATAAATTTTTGATTTGAGGTTTCCGAGTTATGGTGTTTTATTCCTTAAAAAACGGGGATTTTCCAGTTTTCGGACAATAACTCTTAAATGCTTTCAGAAGTTTTCATGAAACTTTGGTGAATTGTTTATATCTATTGAGATATCCTCCTTTTCGAATTTTATAAATTTAGATTGAACGTTTCCGAGTTATCGGATTTAATTAAACAAAAAGGGGTGATTTTCAAGTTTTCGGACACTTTTTTTAAGCGCTTTGAGCAGTTTTCATGAAACTTTGGTGACTGGTTTATAGATTAAGATAACCTCCAGTTAGTTTTTCATCAATTTCAGATATGACATTGACAAGTTATTGAACATTATTCTTAAAAACTATTTTTGGAATAAAAGAACTGTAAGGCTAAATTTTACTTTTTTAACAAAAAATTGTTGGATTGATAATATCTTTTTATCTCAAATACTAACACACCTTGTAAAACCTTTTAAATTTAACTCAAGCTTCTATATCACGTCTTGTCAGAAAGGAAGTCTGTTTGTTTACATTTTTTATCAGATTCACCCGAGAAAAAAAAGTGGTCAAACTCGAAAAACCCTGATTAAATCACTCGAAAAACCACGATCCTAGCCAGACACTATATCTACCGTAACATTGGTGTATTAAAGTTCTTACAAATATATTGCTTCGCAACTTTAGCTGGAATAAACATCTGTTCATAATTGTCTCCTCATACAGTAACCCTTTTGTATCACAATGGTGAAACTAGGCTTCATCAAAAGAAATAGGTGAATTTGTGAAGCACAACTATCATGTAGGCGAAAATATCTCATTTCTGAATGAATCAGGCCATTTAAAACTGATAATTGATTATAGATCCATGGATAGAAGAGGCAAAAGACCTGCTGAATGGGAAGATCCCATTGGCAATACGAAAGTGAGACGGTTGAATTCAACGTCGGAACTAGGTATGTTTTTCCTTCAACTCTACACGCGCCTCCCTAGAATACAAACTACTTACCCTCACACAGTATCTGCGTTTTCTGCAGGTTTAATGTGGAGGTTCGTGATCCTCAAATCTAGTTTTCTGTGGAAATGTCATTTGTCTCTTCAGCTTTTCTCTTACTTTAACTCTCTGCAAAATTCACCATGAATATCATAATTGCCATCAATATCATTGTGTTTACCGTGAATGAAGAATTGACTAGAAACTGCTAGAATGAATACAGTAGTCCTCAAGCAACTATACATTATAAGATTTAACCCGGATTCACTTCTCACACAGATCGTTTTTATAATACGAATTGTGAATTCCTTTTATATATGTTAAACATTGAATATCGTCATAGAAAAAATGATAATACATTTCGAAAGATTTTTATGAACACAATGTGCTAATTTGAGAGAGAAAGGTATGATAACAAGAAACATAATCTTTTAAGTTCTCTAATAAAGTATATTATGCTAGTATATTTCATAAAAAAACATTCGTACGTAAAATTGTGTCGAAAGCTTCCAAAGGGATATTCAAAAGTAAAAAAATATATTGACATTACAATGGCAAAAGAACTAGAAAAAAAAAAACCAAACCACAGAACAATATACAAATAGCAACATAGAAAACTAAAGACTGGGCAATTGAAACGTAGCAGAATATTGATTTGGAGTCAACGCAAAAAGACAATTCTTTATTGTTGATAGCCGTTTATAGGTCGCCAACTGTGTTAAGCTATCATTTTGTGTCGAGGTAAATGACTCATCAGCATAATCTGATACTGGTATAACCTTTACTTAATGTTTGGGGAAAAACATGTTGTCATGATTTTCTATGTGGGTCAAGTAAAAATGTGTTTGCATTTGCATATGTTAATTAAGTGTGTTAATTTTTATTTCATACAGCCAGTTCATATCCATTACGTTTTTCAGGTAGGAGCCAAGACTCAACTGAAATTGATCAAGATATTAAATTTCGATATAATTCTGTTGTTAAAGGTAATAACCGTATAAATAATAGTTTATATATATTTCAGTTTTCATTTGTTTTGAATTATGTTATTATAAGTGCAGTCAGTTTATACTGCGTCTTATCAATCAGGTAAACATAAGCCGTTTCAAAAAAATTACTTTGTAATAAAGTTATACAGACCCCTTTACGGACTTATTTTCAAAGACAAACAAAAACCGGAAAGAATTTAAGAAATTGAGATCATATAATCAATCGAATAATAACAAAAATGTTTATTTATGCTATTTACTATCTTGCAACATAATGTAAATATATGAACAAAAATATTACCGTAAGATGAATTCGATATTAAACATCTGTAGAATGTGGAAGCATTAACTATTAAAAAGAAGATACAACAAAGATGAACAATACATTTTAAGTTCATTTCAAATTAACACAATTCATGGATTATAAACATGTTTGTTCTTAATTCAAGGTTCGCCACATTACTTCACCATGATTGTTTGTATGATCCTAAGTGTGGGGACATCTGTATATCGGAATGTATTGAAAAGAAAAATGCCAAATATCAAAAATTTTGAAAAAGAACTTCTTTCGCTGGAACCCTGGCTTAACAATCATCAAAAATCAATCTTATTCCCTGAAAAGGGAACATTCAGCGGAGACCTGAATAAATTGAATATGGAGACAATATACATTATTCTAAAAGAGAAAGGCGACTTTAAACCACATTCAAAGGGATGGGGTGTGCTTCCAGAAGATGATGATCACAGTACATCTGCTAATTTAGATAGAATTGAGTTAATACGAGCAAAGACTATAGGTAGGTGTGCAAATACAAACATTGAAGAGTCGGAATTCAAAACGATCTGTTCAATTCTAATAAACGCTATAATAGAATTAGGCGCCAGCATAGAGAGGCTTTGTTATATTTTACATAATAAGACATATACAGAGCCCCAAAGAAAGGGACAGAAGCAAACTGGGAAATTGTCTTCAGAAAACAGATCATCCAGAAATGAAAAGGGTATGTATTTCATATAATAGATAAACAACTCATTATTTAAACGAATAGATTAAACGATGCACTTCATAGAGTAGAAATTCGAGATAACCTTGCATTTCTTTTTTATGAATTATTAAAAACTATGTTGACCCATCCTTCCAAAAATACAATTGAAATCAAACACTTTTAAACTGATTTTAGTTTAAAACTATCAATTTGTCTTGCACGACATTCATTATGTCTGAAATAAAATATGTTACTATGTTCAGTTATCTTAAGAGTTATGGGTAGTTTTGTGGAGAATACAGTAATGTTTAAACATTTCGTTAGCCGTGAAACGAGAACCGTTAAGTCTCCTTCTTTGAAAATTCATGTTTACAAATGCATGATATGTGAATTTCATCTGCATTACATTCAAAAGTGGGCCATGTGATTAATTAATTATTTTCCTACATCTGTCAAATTCAAGGGAATATTTTTGTCGACCCTTTTTCGTATGCAACCGGATATGACGTACTATGATTTGGTGGTATTACACCTCTAACACAAGTACTGCTTTTACTGTGGTAGAAAAAGCCAGAAACTGACTTAAATAAGTCTGAATTATGATCGTTCACATGACTTTTGTATGATCCTCTTTCTGAAATATTGTTAATTACCCAATGGATGATATTATTAAAATAGAGTTTGATTGCAATTGTTGGTTACACGATATGTCATGTTTGAAAATGTATATGATCATAAATGTATCGGTTAATTGTTATTGTTAGTTAAAGTTTATATCGTATCAATTATACAAACAATAAGTTTGATATGTTCTCTGATACATGAAGTTGTTGAATGTTATGATTCTCTAACAACAATTTGTAAAATAGAGTATTGCTGAAGCAGAGTTATATATAACAAATGTTACTGAAGCAGAGTTATTAACGAAATAATTATTTAAAACCTTATTGAATTTTTACTTGTTTTTGTGAATCTACATTAAATTAAATCTTTTACATAATTTTTATACTTTGTTTTGTATATTAAAAGGAAATCTGAAGAGAAAGAATTACTTTCTCATTTTACGGCTTACTTTGGATATTGGAACCAGAGTTCTTCGCGAAGAATTTGAAAGTCGATTTCCAAAGAACAGATCGTTTGGACAGATTTTTAAAATCTATAAGTCTGATCTAAAGCCAAAACTCGATAAAACTTCTCGAAAAATCATATATCCAAAAGAAGGAAAGTATACCGGAAACCTGAGAGACTTAGCTATTCCTACGCTTTATTCATTATGCCGATGTGCTGCAAACATTCAACCTCACGATCAAGGATGGGGAAATCCTCCGAATGAGGACGATAGGAGTCTGTCTGCGAACATAGAAAGAATTCGAATTATACGGAATGAAATAGTGTCTTATCCAGAATGCAAAATGGACGAAGCAGAATATAAAATGAAATTGCGTTCACTGAAGCAGACTCTCCTAGGATTAGGTGCAAAGGAAAAAGATATTAATGATATTATCGACATTTCGAGTGGCCAACAATTGCGTTATACGAGCAAAGTTGACAAATGGTCAGATGAACAAACAGATGAAAGCACACAGTTCTGGGGAAAATCGTCTAACCAAAGAAAAGGTTGGGTTTTGTCATTTTTATGTCAAAATTTCTTCAGTATTAACTCATACCTTAATGAGTAAAGAAAAACGTAATTTGAAAAAGAGAAGTTAAAGATAACAAAGGCATTTTCAAACTCATAATTTGGAAATAAACTGACAATTAATGCTGTGGTAAAATCACTTAAAACGAAAAATAAACAATTAACAGTACACAAAACACAAAACACAACATAGAAAACTAAAGACTGTACAGCACGAACCCTACCTAAAAAACGGGGTTGATGTTATGTGCGCCGAAAGGGTAAACAGATACTTCTCCACATGTGGCACCGTCGTGTTGCTCATGTAAAAACAAATTCGATAATAAGTTTAATTTGGAAGGTCACATTTGTGTAATTGTGGTTACGACAATGAGAACATATCCGTCGTGGTCCGAAACAAATATTCTATAACGATCAACCAAGTCATGATGACGTCCGTAAAAGTGTCCAAGTGATGATTTTCAACTTTACCACGTCACCACTCTTGGTTTGGTAGCTAAAAATAGGAAACGCATGCTCTGGAATGTCGAAAGTTCACAATTATAGTCCGTTTCTACGTATGTTGGCGTTTCTTTTTTGTTGCAGCTCATTATTTCTGTTCCGTTGTTTTCCTCTTATAGATAATGGGTTTCCCTCGGTTTTGGTTTGTGACTCGAATTTGTTTTCGCTTAATTGATTTATGACCATTGAACAGCGGTATACTACTGTTACATTTATTTGTTCTAAATCATCATCAGTTTGAAGATACAAGGTAAGATATGAAGAATATTTAACTATATCTGTTGTATCCTTTATTTCAAGTTCGATGTGATAGATGCGGCCCACATAGTCAGTAACTTTTAATCATCCATTGAGAGGACATCATTTATATAGAGGAAGATTTACATACTTATACTTAGATACGATGCAATGTAATATGAAATTATTTGTAGGAAGTAATGACATTAACCAATCATATCTGTGGTACAACTTTCGTCATATTTATACACTTCTGGTTTTTCAGAATGGTTCTTCAAATTACCGATTGTATGTGATGAATTAGTGGTTGATTGTATCATAGATAAAAGACTTCAGCACAACTATAAATCATTAGAGAAAATAATAAAAAAAAGGGAATTGAGCATCATGTCAGGTAATAGCTAGTTTTGTAAAACCCCATGTTCCACTAGAAAAATCCCTAGCATATACCATATATCAGACACTGTTTTGGAGGTACTCATCTTTTTCGCACCACTTTTAAGCAAAATGTCTTATATGGGTATATTTTACAGAGTTTTTGGAGTTGAAAGTTAGGTAGTGATGAAAATTTTTTCGATGGTCGCTGTTAAATACAGTATATGTTCATGACGATCAAACACTTGGGATAATATGAAACTTGACATATTATATCCACACCAGTCTAAGGAATGGTCTTAATGCCCTCGCGAAATCCTGTCGATTTGTTTTACGCTAGGGTAAACTCTTTTTATTAAGTTCCAAGAAAAATACATTTGTTTTCATATTATGACTTGACACAGAGAATTAACATATACTACAATACTGGTGATACAAGATTCATTGAAAATTTTAGAAATTGTATATTAAAAACTTTGTAACGTCTTTTAAACTTCATCAATGTTATAATTCAATGAATAATGTTTTATGAAATATATAAGAAGTAAACAAAGATAATAAGGCCCCATTTTTATGTACATGCATGCTTGGTGTGGTAATAATATATTTGTTTTATTATAATTGAACATTTTTTATCAAGTCTGATTTTAATAACTGGTAACTGATTTCAAAACATTGTTAGCAGGCCTTGATTTAATTATTAAAATTATCTTACACAAAACTAAGATGACAAATAAATAAAGATGAGCAGCAAATTGATTCCGCTGTATTAATTACATTGTGCAATACATGTATAAGACGAATTGGAGGTTAATGCTAAGTTTTGTGTCTTAAAAAAGGCCGATATCTATCTTTTTAAACTTGTCCAATTTTGTAGACATCTGAAGACTTCTATGAAAAGGAGGTACGTTGCCCAGCTATAATTCCGAAAAATAAATAAAGATGTTTCCATATTTTTCATGCCCCCGCCGTACTGGAGGGGGCATTAAGTTTACCCATGTTCGTCTATATGTCCGTCTGTACGTCCGAAGGTCCCAATATTGGTTTCCGTTCTCTTACTTTTGTGTACTCAATCAAATGTTATGAACCTTATACACAATGCTTATTACCATAAAACACTGATCATGTTTGAATTGTGGTGGTGTCCCTTTTACTTTTCTAGAGTTATGCCCCTTTTGTATCTGTACCCCTATTTTTGACATTTTTTCCCTTTATGTCTGTTTGTTTTGTTCACACATCGTTGTCAATATAATGGAATTTGATGCGACTGTCATACAAATGAGAGTTTTATCTAGCTATAAAACCAGGTTTAATCCACCATTTTCTAAATAAGAAAATGCCTGTACCTGTCAGGAATATGACAGATGTTGTCCATTCGTTTGGTGTGTTTGAGCTTTTGATTTTGCCATTTGATTGGGGACTTTCCGTTTTGAATTTTCCTCGGAGTTCAGTGTTATTGTGATTTTACTTTTTACAAATGGAAAAATTGCTGCTTTTTCGTTTATGTTCTTTAAATAAAGTTTGCCTCAACCAAATGTTATGAAATGTATGCACAATGCCTATTACCACTTAACACAGATCAAGTATGAATTCTGGTGACATCACTTATACCGTTCCAGACTTATGCCCCTTTACAAATGGAAAAAATGCTGAATTTCGGTAACGTCACCAGTCGAGGCAAATAGGAAATACCATAATATTATGAAAAAGCATAATTCTACTTACATCTTGTGGCAAATTTGAGTTATCTTTCTTAGACTCACCCTGACAATTAAGACATGGGAGATAACAACTTTTGTCTTAAAGGAAGTTGTAAGGAAGATAACTTAATATTATCATAAGTATAATTAAGATACAACATAAATTTGTAATACTTATCAAGTTTGATAATCCATATATCCATTCCATATCTGTTTTACAATGATTTATTTTTGTACCAATTTATGAATTGATAAGACTTTATCGAATTATCATGATTTTTATAACTTAAATCTTTGCATAGGTTATAGTTTACAATGTTTAATCTTGCGTTCCAATCATATTATGTTTCCATTTTTATTCACAATTGCATGTTTTTGTTGTATAATTCTTTGACGCTATCGGTAAATCTTATCAGTGGTAAAACGGCAAAACCCTCGTGTTTTTATTATTATTATTATCATTATATGCATAAACAAATTTCTGTCTGTGTTTTTCTCGTACAATAACATTTGTTGGAATTGATTGTAATTCAGAAAATATTGCATAGTGCAAGGAGATTTGGTGCCACGATATCTCAGTAGCATGAAGTCCAATCCCGACCAGGGAAGAACAAAAATTTACAGATCCAGCATTGTTGGCCTCACTATATATATATATATATATATATATATTCATTATCATCCATGATTATTACAAAGATGTGAAACCGGTTGGTGAAAAAATGTAGAAGATTAAAGGACTTTAAGAGCATTTTGAAATTTAATTTTATTTCTTTTTCTACTAGTGTGGACGGAGAATTCAATTTTAAGTATATATATATATATATAACTCGTCTAAACATCAGCCCAACAATGTTAGATCTGTAAATTTGCTTTCACAAATTTTTTGTTCTTCCCTCGCCGGGATTCGAACTCATGCTACTATACAAATCTAAATTGAAAACAACGTTCAAAATTATTATTGCGTTGGATAGACAAAGTATATATATAGGTAAAAAAAATATAGGAAAAATAAGGGTGAAAATGCACGATATATTCATATTCAATACGAATATTCACATTTTGTCTATTCAAACATCAAATTGTTGAAAAATGTTCCAATAGAATTCTACTGGTTTCACTGCTTAACAAATACTCATGGATGAATTGAATATAAATACTTGGTGCATTTTCAGCCTTAATGTTTCCCCTTTTTTATGCACAGCGTGGACAAAACTTAAAACTTCAATATATATATATTCAATAATATAAGATAAAGAACATTAAGACTTAAACCAAATGTCGGAGTTGAATTTTGTAAATCAACTAACAACACAAATTATCTTTATAACCAATGTTAGTGATAATTTGATATAAGGTCCCAAAGCAGATAAGAAAGTGAAGTTTATCAACTATTAGGTTTGGGTTCATTGTTGAAGGCCGTACGGTATCACCTTTAGCAGTTATTGTTTTGTGTTATTTTGTCTCTTGTGGAGAGTTGTCTCTTTTGAAATCATACCACATCTTCTTTTTTATATTGTATAGTGTATTACGAACTAAAAAAATTAGTAAGAGATATTAACAAGTAATAATATGTAGGCCTAAGTTTAAATAGATACCTAGAATTAAATATACTTTTCTCTGTATGTGTGATATGTAGTTTTATGTAAAAAAAATTGGAAAATGTAGAAACCGTACGTGTTCAACAGACGGAATTGTGTTATAAACTTTATGATGAAATGACTATTAAGTTAAATGGAGTTTTGTTACACTCTGGATTCTTTAAAGTTTTGACACAACATAATGCAGCTTCAATTCTTCCTTATCATAATCAAACATCCTGTTTGTTAAAAGCGGTACCACAAATAATTACAGTCTTTCGCAAAATTCTACCTTTATCAAGGTTGTGGTTTTGTCTTGAAGGTCAATATCAAGTAATAATTTTTGTAAACTCATTCAAACATTGGAAACCGATGCATAGAATAGCATGCGTAATTACATGGTTGATAACGCCACAAAGATAATACCACAGTATTAGCTATTGATAAAACACACACAATTATACATATGTTACTTAAATGCGTTTAAAAAGGTAGATCTGAAGATCTCGGGGCCACTTACTATGTAATGAGTGGTAGTGATGAGCTAAAATAGGTCACTATTTCATGAAAAGGGTGAGAAAATCAGATTGAATACATCGCGATCGATAGGTTGATATAATCACTTGCTTGATTATATCATAAGTATCTGATACTAATTATATGTCCGTATTTATTTTTGATGCGGCTGCCGTAAATACATCAGCTATTTGTCAAACCAATTAAACTCTATTTACTGAAATCTGGTATTTCCACTGATGCTATTTATAGATGCAATAAATCCGATCATTTTGATATGTGCACCTAATTCACATTAAAGGTTTGTTTACATGAAATATGATAACAATTATTTAAAGAAATTCCTTTGTGACAGCTAGCGTCCTATAGGTTACAATAAACCATTAGATTTTAAATTATTGACTGGGGTCACCTCTGATAAAAAATTGTGAAAATTCAGAGAGAAATGCCAGAACGTTTTGAAGATGATTTTTGTGTGGCATATATATTTGTGCATCTAACGAACTATGAATTGCATGATTCTAGAAAGTATTAAATACCGTATAGGTTACAATAAACCATTAGATTTTAGGGGCGCAGCCATTTTATGAGCATAACTTGGTATTCAGAATTAAGTGTATAGCTAATCATGATTGGTTGATATGTGCGCCCGTTATTTTTTGACTAGTGCCAAGCTATCCAGCAATTCTCATCCTGCAATTCTTTTGCGATAAAGCTATCCTGCAATTCGTCATCCTGCAATTGCGTTCGAAAAACAACTTGAGTGACATTTTTATTTTTTTCAAAATCATGGATTTTTGACTTGTTTTGTTTGAAAAAAAAGATAAATATAAAGTTTTTTATATCCCATTCACAAATTTCTAGCTTCAGTTTACAAATTTCTAACTCATCTTTACGGTCTATAACTAGAATTTACCATTAGAAAAATCATGACGATTCAAAAAGAGATATATATCTGTGAAGTCCCGGATATGGTTTCGTTTTTATGCATGTTTAAGAATTTCTTGGGTAAGCTTTCTTAAAGGCCCAAAATTTCGTTCGAAACACGGAAATAAAGCCAAATTCGATAAAATACGCTCTAGGGTCACCCACTTTCCAACCAATTGTCTGGGTAGTTCCTTATGGCTAGGGATTAAAGACTCTGCTTCAATGAACAGCTATTATATAGTACTACAACGAGAAGGTAACAAATTTTTGGGGTAAGCTTTCTTAAAGGCCGAAAA